ATGCACCCCATTCTAGTCGATAACGACGCCTAAAATTAGAATAGAATTCCATAAAAATTATTTTCAAATTTGGCCTTGAGACTTGAGTCCTGCACTCGTAGTGCCGTTAAGTAACGTAAAAAGTAACGTCGTTACCCTTTTTGAAGAAAAGGAAAGCCATTAGTTACCTTCTTCTAGAGGTAACCAGTAACGGTGACGCGTTTCTTTCTTTGAGAAACGGTATAGCAAAACGTCACTCGTTACTTTAAATTTTTTCTTAAAAAATATCATAAAAAGAAAAACATATTTTATTGTACTATGAAATTATTTTTATTTAATTTTTTAATATAAATAATTTAAGCTGTGTATTTAATTCATATTAACCATCATTCCTTCATTTTTAATTTGAATTCTCGTTGTTAAATTTCAGTTGAATGTTAATTTAATATATATTCAATCAAAATTCAAAGTAAATGTTATTAATAATATTATTATTCTATTTTATAATTATTTTTAAGAATATTATATCCCTAGTATTTACTTCTTCAGATGAAGATGATCTAATCCTTCGGTGACCCCAATTTAAAACATATTTTTACACCAATAAGGAAAATTAAGGGTACAAGGTCTACACTTTGTAATTGTAAATTATGTCCCAAAGCAAATATTTCAACCCCAATGTCCAGCAGTTCAAACTTAAAAGCATATGAAGGTAAAAAGATGAATTTATATATTATTATTTTAAACATTAATCTAACAATAGAATATTAAATCATGGGTATTATAAAATAAGCATTAAAGGAAGTATTCTTTCATAATATTTTGAATAGCTTAATCATGAAATTAAAATATAAGCAATTAAGCTCCCGCTATTTAAATTGGATTAGCCCTAGATAAGATTAGAAATCAACAAAGGAAGAATGCTAGAACTTACTTCAGTTTAAGAAAAGAAAGAGCAGACTTAATTCATTTATCCAACACACATACCAGAATATTTTCTAATAAAGATTAATTTTTTGATGAGAAAATGAATGAAGATCTTTATGAAGATGATCTATTAAGCTTTTTTGATAAATTAAGATATATACTTTATATTTTTAATAAATTTCCCGAATTAAGATGTTTATTAATTAAATATAATATAACTATCCCATCCTCTGCGCCAATTGAACATATGTTTAGCACGGCGAAAGCTGTATTGAGCAATAAGTGCTCTTGTTTTTCTGATCAAAATTTTGAAAATCAATTGTTGCTAATATTAATAAAAATTTTTACAAAAAAGATGTTATATTATTATATAATATATTTTTTTTATATAATTTATTCATATTATAATTATATAGAATTGATCTTATCTTATTATATATTCTTGTATAATTTTATTTATATTGTATATTGTAGGAAAAAAATAAATATTTTTTTTGTATATAATATTTAATTGTTTAAGTAACGAGTAACCCTTACTTTTTTGAAAGTCAGTAACGATCTCTTATGCTTCGAGATGACCAAATATTTATGGATCTTTGGATCTACGGCCATTTGTAGATTCATATCCTTTAAATCTTTTACTATAAATCGGGTTACCACTGAATCTTTACCAGTAAGTCATCCAACGTTAAAATAACGTGATCATCATATAATAAATGGGGATTTAAACTAACCTTGAAATCGGCGCAAATACGAATCTCGACATTGTTTATCATTGGGATTGCTCATGGCACCCTAGTTGTAGAGAAATCGATTGGCTCCTAAATATCAGCAGCAACAAGGTGATACAGTTCTAGTTTAATCGATTGCATAGTGGAAAAGCACTCGACGAGGAAAATGATTTTAGAACAGCCGTATCTTTTAACAGGAGTTGCACTGTGAAATTAGGTTACAACATCGTCAAAAACGGCTTTGAACTGTTTAGCTAACAACGACCCCATTGAGTCTTCCGTTTTGACATCTATCGGCTATTGTGGGCACCGATTGTATTTGAAAAGTCCATAGGGGCATCGTTGGACTGATAGCCACTTGATACCATTGATCTTGAATGACCCACGGGATCTCCATTCGTTTTAATAATCTATTATATATTTACCTGTCTTAGTAGCTCAAACCCAAATGCTAAAATCCATGGTTCAAACCTAAGTAGTAATAACTAATAATTTACGAATTTCCTTCCACACTTGTACACGGACCATGGCTTCACCGATTAAATCCAGAAGCATATCTTCATAGGATGAATGTGTTTGTGGAAAAAGTTAGCGGTTTGTCAAATTTCTCCCAAATATTCAATGCAATGATAGAGTCTCTTGCTCCCATATCAAAGTCGAAAGTGACACTAAGTCCATTTATTATGGCTGGAATCTTCCTCCTTTTATTTAATCCACCTGCCCAAAGATGATTTCTTAAATCACTTGAGGAAAAGTATTGTTTCGATGAGTTTAAATTTTGATATACTGACTTACTACGGCAACACGGTGAGAAGTGTCCGATTCTTTGGCACTTTATACACGTTTTGTCTTTAGTGGGGCATAAATATTTTTCATGCCAGTCGGCACAATTCTTACATTTATTATCGTAAAACTTGCTTTTAGGCTTCCTATAATTATCAAACTCTCTCTTAACATACTCTTGTGAGTTAGGCATTTTATAATTGTCATATTGAGGCCTGGTTAAACTATTTACTAGGTCTTTTTTAATTGCCATATTCTGAGTTCTTTTCGTTGCCATGGCCATATCTAGCACAAACTGGAACATCGCGGTTATTTGTTCACATATCATAAAATTTCCCTTTAACTTTATATGTCATGATTTATAAGAAACATTGCATTCGGCAGAAAATGGAGCAAAGCTTTGCTCCTTGCAAAAAATATTTATTTAATCAAGCATAGCGTTGCTCTCTCTAATAGCTATTAGGATTTTAGTTCTTATACATAGAATGATCTTAACACTTTTAAAAATTAGTTTATAATTTACAAATTCGAATCTTGAAATTTCTTTAATTTATTATATATCGTTTCCTACAGCTTTGTTAGTTTATATGGTCAGAAACAGAGATGCTCAAACTTGCTATCAGATCTTATTGTACATGAAACTTAAGTCTCCTTCATTCTGGTTTACTCAATATCTAAATAATTAACTTTTTAAGTAGAAATGTCTTAGCAAAAAATCTAAAATGACGACCAATTGCTTATTGTATCTATAATATTTCTTCAGGTCTTGAATCCATCTTACCCGATAAAACTCTCTATTTGTAAAGACAAGTCCCTCTTAAAACATTTTCTTTATGTAGTCCAATAAATAAGTCTTTAAAATATTAAAGCAGATTTAACAGTTCAAAATATGGGTTTGATAAACCTCATTAACATTATTCGCGCTATTTCTTATTTTTACATTACCATTCAAGGATTTTAATAGAGATTTTTAAAAATTTCTATAACAAAAATTGAATTAACTAAAACATTAATTCATTAGATCTACTTAATTTTTCATGGCCAAAATGTTAGGAATTATTTTAATCTTGACCCACGAGTTCATAAAATCTAGATTTTTTTTAACAAAAAGCTACTATTATAGCCATGTAATTTGTAATTTATAACAATCTGAATGATGAGTTTGACTAAATTGCATGCTAAGATAAACTGCAAATGCCAAGGTAAACTGCAAATGCTTAGTTAAATTTTTTAAATATATTCTCTATTATTTGTAGTAAGATTCATTTTGTTTTCTGTATGTTAACTATTTGTAACTTTTAAATCTACAGGTTATTTATTATTCTAATTTCCTGGGTTCGATTTTCTATTAACTAACAATATAAATATATTTATTATTGTTCCTACTCGATACCTTTTGTTATTATTCTTTTACTTGATACCTTTTATTATTCCTTTTCTTTTTCAAGATCAACTATATTTTTGTCCAATACACGCAATAAATTAACAAGAACAAAAATAAACGCAAAAACAAAATTTAACGCACTTCAAACTAAAGAAAAAAAAATGAATGAATACTTTATTTTTCTTTTCCTTCGATTATATATATTTTTAAAAATTAACAAATCTATATATATAATCACCGTAATCAAGAAATGAATGTTTTCGTATATCCTTAATGTTAATTTTTATTTTTCTCATCAACTTTCCTATCTTCTTAATGATAATTTTTATTTTTCCTATCAACTTTCCTATCTTCCTATCTTCTTAATGTTAATTTTTATTTTTCCTATCAACTTTCCTATCTTCTTAATGTTAAATAAATCGATGGAGACTATATCTCTCTAATGTTAAATTTTAAGAAATTTTTTTGTATATAATAACGGGATTCGAACCCATGACTTAACGATTTAAAGGCAAGCGTTCTTCCCGCTCAACCACCTTCTATATTAATTTTGTAATATAATCTTTCTTATATACTTTATTATTTTGCTATTATTTTATATTTTTATTGGCTAATTAATCTTTATTTTTATTGGTTTATTAAGGTCTTATTTCATTGGTTTAAATTTATTTTCTATCTATTTTATTGGTTTAAATTTATTTTTTTTGTTTTATTAATTAATAATCAACCATTTTTAATTAACGATCTTTTTTTAATTAACGATTTTTAAGAAGATAGTCAAGTATAATTATTTTTTATTAATAAAAATAAAATTTAATATTATATATATAGATTATCACGGAAAATATAAATATTTATACAAACCAAAAATTTGTTCATATATTTAGTACCAAGTGAAATCCAACTACATTTTATATTAAAACTTCTTCAAGTTCCTAAATCAGTGTCAACCCTTCAATCATGTAAGAAATAACCTTTTTTAAATTTTTAAGAATATGTTTTAAGTTAAAGAAATAACCTTTTTTAAATTTTTAAGAAGATAAAATAGTTCCTAAATCAGTGTCAACCCTTCAATCATGTAAGAAATAACCTTTTTTAAATTTTTAAGAAGATAAAATAGTTCCTAAATCAGTGTCAACCCTTCAATCATGTAAGAAATAACCTTTTTTAAATTTTTAAGAATATGTTTTACCCTGAATTCATAGTGAGAGCGATTGCGATCGCGATTTAAGCCGCGATTTCGCAGCGACTGATCAGCTGGATCGATCGCAGCGATTTACATTCATAGTGCTAAGCGATTATATTAATTCACAAAATGAGAGCCGCCATATTATTTCTCTTATACAAAATAATATTGAAGAGGAGGAGATTAAACAATCTTAATATTAATTAAAGAAAAGAGGGCGAATTTTACATTCTCTTTCCTAAACTCTTAAAAAATAAGGTTAAATTTTTCAATTATATGAGGATGACCAAAGTAATTTTATTCTATTTTATCTATAAATCATTTTAATTTAGGAAACCTTTTATTACATACTTGAGCATGTAAAACCAATATTGCTTACAACATCCACAAATTTTATAAAATATCCAATAAGTATTGAAGAAAAGCTAATGGTTTGTTTAAGGTAAAAATAAAGCAATTTATTATTTAAATATATTTTTTATTTAGATATTTAGCTACAGGCTGTAGATATCCTACCTTAGCTTATTCCTTCAAAATGGGAATATCTACAATCCAAAAAATTGTTAGGACCACTTGCAAAGCTATATGACAAACTTTGGTGACCCAACATATGATTACAGCTAACAGAAAATTTAATATAAACATGTACTTTACTCCATAACATTATAATTGATAAGGAAAAATATATTCCTATCAACCTTAAAAAAAATTATCCCCTTTAATTCACTTATTTAATCAACAATCTATTAAATCAGCAACAAATATTGCAAAGTTTAATAGAAATTTATTATGTTTATATTTATATAAAAATCCCATATTATAGATATTTATAAATTTAATCAAATCTTATTTTGTATTTTATATAAATATCTTGTTTTGTATTTTATATAAATATCTTGTTTTGTATTTTATATATATTATAATAAAAATAAATGTTTAATTATTATCCTTCCATTAAAGAAATTTTTTATAAATATAATATTGCAATACCTTCATCAGCTCCAATTGAAAGGTTATTTAGTTTTGGCACAATGTTAAGTATGCCAAAATGGCAAAGGTCTAATTATAAATATTTTGATTATCTTATAAAATAATGAATTTATTTTAAATACTCTTTTGCAAATTAATATTTCAACTCCAATACTAGTCTCCCTTCCCTATCTATGCTAAGAATGGACTAATACTAATATTAAAATGCCTGATTATTATAATCAACTCATCATTAAATATTTTATTAATTCTTGCAAATATTCATTCTTATTATGGTAATGTTATGTTCTTCACAAATAAATAATAAAAACTGTATTTTACAAACTATTCTAACTTAATTGGTAATGATAATTTAAAAGTATCTTATATTTAAGATACTCTAAATAGGCAAAAGATACAAGTATCTTTTTGCCGCTATATTTAAATATATTGATAACCAAAATTAGTTGGAAGTTTTATAGGTCACAAAGATTGATAGATTAAAAATAACAACACCAAAACTAAATAAGATAAGGATATATTTTATATGTAATATTTTTTAATTTGTGGAATGTTTAACAATCATAGTAGTGAAGATGAAATTATGGAGATAGGTTCTCCTGAATCAAATCCGAATCTTAAAATTCTAGATGGAAAATTTTATAAAGTAATTCATGTGAAAAAGAACAAGGTACAAGCTGAATGTCAAAATTGCACAAGTAAAAAAGTTATTACAAATTCAACAAACTCATCTACAAACTTTGTTAAATATTTAGGTATATTATACATTTTTATTTTATAATTATTAACATATTAATACCTATACTTAAGTCGCTCTTAGATAATTGTTATTAAATTTTTTTATAGAAGATGGTTGAATATCAAATTAAAATTATTAATATATATTTTTTAGGGATGTATCGATACCACTTTTTTGGAGGCCGATCCGATATTCCCGATATTAAATTGATATCGGTCGATTACCGATCCGATATCATATCTAATTTTGTATTCTGTAAAGATACCAATGGTTTTTATTTATAATATACTTTTTATTAGTATAACGTCTATAATTTAACTATACCATAACTTATGTAATTTAAATATATTATAATGATCAGTTATAGTTTATATTCAATTCAATTGTAATTCTATAAAAATATAAAATATTTTTATTGTTAAATCACTTTTATATAATAAGTAAGTAATAACATTTCACTTTTATATAATAAGTAATAACATTAATCTATATATATAATAAGTAATAAACAATTATATTATGAAATTTGAAATAAATATTTAAAATAATATTTAACATTAATATATCGAAGATTTCTTTTTAGAAATACCAATATTTCCAATTTATCAGAGGTCAGCTTGCGGCGATAGTAACTGTCAATATCACCAAATTCACTAAAAACAGATTCTGAAGAAAATTTCGCACACTATAACAGAATGCGCAAAAAAATAACAATATGGCAGAATGTTTATTAATTATTTATTATTATTAAAAAAATATACATAAAAATGGATTTCGATTTTATTTATAAAAATCAATGATGTTAGATATAACTTTTTTTAAAAATTTTATAAAATTTTATTTTTGTTAAAGAAGCCATTTTATATCGGATTAAATTTTATAATATCGGCCGATAACCGATATTTTAAAGGGTGAAGTCGGCCCGATCCGATAAAAAATATCGTCACATCCCTAATATATTTTATATATAATTATTTTAGCAAGTTATTATTAGAGGAAATATTTAAGCTACACTTGATATATAACATTAGCTCTTAATAAAATAATTATAATAAAGTAGAATTTAACTTTATTAGTTACTTTTATTTATTTATGATATAAGTAAAATTACATTACAGCATATATTTACAAAATTTAATCAATTTAAAATGTATTAAAGAAAATTGTTATGTTTTTAATAATTATAATATAATGTTATACATTATTTTCATATTTTTTATATATAATTAATAATTTTGCAAGAAATATATAAAAAAAATTTGAAAAGAGATTTAAATGATATTTATATATATGATATTACAAAAAATATCACAAACAAGTAATGATAAATACTTATTATAGATAATGAATAAAATAAAACTAGTATATTTTTTTTAGAGACGCCATTTAGCCATATAATCCGAATATAAGCTATATTTAAAACAACACAGAAAATAACCTGCAAATTCTAATAAAACATTTGATTTAATTTTTCTTATTTGCAAATTTTCAACTCCCATTAAATATATTACACTCTCTTCCCTGTTTAAGCTATTAATGGGCAAAAACTAATATTAAAATCCTGTTTATTATAATTATTTCATTAATAAATATTTTATTAATTATTGCAAATATTCATTCTTATATGTGTATGCTATGTTCTTCACAAATAAATAATAAAAACTGTATTTTATAAACTATTCTAATTTAATTGGTAATGATAATTTAAAAGTATCTTGTATTTAAAATACTCTAATTTAGTAAAAGATATAAGTATCTTTTATCTTGTATCTTTTTGATATTTTGAAAAAGATACTAGTATCTGTATCTAAGATTCATTTTTTTATTAAAAATCTTTATCTGCACCTAGATTCTTTTTCTAGAGGACCTGCCCAACTCTGATTATGTTTTAGGTTAAAGAAATACAAGATTTTTAAGATTTGTAAAAAATAATTGACACTTTTAAGATTAAGAACAAAAAGTAAATAAATACAAGATTACAGACATATATAAATGAGGATAGACAGATGCCAAACTAGGCAAAAATATGAAATAATAGATTATCATGGAAAATATAAATATTTATACAAACCAAAAATTTGTTCATATATTTAGTACCAACCAAGTGAAATAGAACTACATTTTATATTAAAACTTCTTCAAGTTCCTAAATCAGTGTCAACCCTTCAATCATGTTATATTTTCTCTCGAATCTTCTCCCGACTATGATACTATTATAAAAATAACTTATAAAAAATTAAATTATTAGATATATTCAATAATAAAGATATATACATTAATAGTTGAATTTTCTCTTATCTCATAATAAATCGTTTAAATCCTTTAATATAATTATAATAAAAATATTTATAATTAAATTTTAAATTTCAATAATATTAAATCCGCAAGAGGGCGTATTATTATTTTATAAAATTATTACTTAAAAATTAAGATACTAAATTCCATATATTAACTATCAAAAATTGATTCGAAAAATTGTAAGAACAAATATAGGTTTTTATAAATTACAAATGATCACATTTTAATGGTTAAAGTAAAATAAATTAATTTTTTTAAAATAATTTTTGCATACTTGCTATTGATATTTTTCCTAAATAGCCACTTTGTTTTTATTGCCATTATTACAATATTACCATACAATAATATCATTCTGATAAATAATATATCACAGAAATATTTTATCGAAAATATAATGTTTGTAGATTATTTTACACCTGGCATAAAAATGTATAAAGATTTACCATTTTAGGGAAAAAATATAATTTAGATAAGGGATTCCGGTAATATTTTAAATGGCGTTATATTTTATTTGTAAAATGATATATTGGTTTTAAGTAAAGAATGCAGGGGGGGGGGAGGGGATAGGTGTATTTGTTCTAATTTTCAGTTGATTTCGAAAGACTATGATTTGCTATTCTGAGATATAATAACTTGGGGTTTTAACGTGGGCTAATATCTAATGAGAATTGTTGGTGGGTTAAGCGCCCATGTATTTCTATTTCTACAAATTTTTTGTTAAGTTAATCGTTAAAGTTATATAATTCTATTATTTAAATGACCATGATAAGGGTCTTTGCTGAGTTCATAATACATATAACATTGAACTGAATGCTTATTATCTTTCCATTAAGGAAATTTTTTATAAATATAATACTGCAATATCTTCATCAGCTTCAATTGAAAGGTTATTTAGTTTTGGTACAATTCTATGTATGCTAAAATGGCAAAGGTCTAATACTAAATTATTTGAAAATTTTGATCATCTTATAAAATAATAAATCTATTTTAAATACTTGCAAATTAATTCTTCCCTATCTATGCTAAGAATGGACTATTACTAATATTAAAATGCCGGATATATTAACTCATCATTAAATACTTTATTAATTATTGTAAATATTAATTGTTGAAATGGATATACAGTGTTGTGATGATTTAATGAAACATATTGACGATTAAATTAAAAATTATCCATATAAAATTATAATCTCTGCAAAAATAATTAAAATATAGACAAAGCATTATTGAAATTTCTTTTATTATTCCTTTTGTTATTTTAATTATTTTTGCAAAGATTATAATTTTATATAGATGGGTTTAATTTAATCGTCGATATGTTTCATTAAATCATCACAATACTGTAGCTTACTTGTTGTGATTATAATCTTGTAATCTAATAAAATGAGTTAAAAAAAAATAGGTAAATGAATGAATGCCATCATGTCGAAATATTTTTATAAATATGATTTTAATTTTTTTTTGTTTTAATTTTTAATTAAAGAACATGTCCTTTAACATATTGTGCCAAATAGAATTCTCAAAAATAAAGGATACATATATCGTGAACAATAATGTATTAAATTTTATTGTGTATTTTTATATACAAGATATGTGGAAAATTGGGAAGTTAAGTAAAGACTTTGTGTCCTGGTTAGACTTATTTTTAAACAGCCGGCCGTTTAAACAGCTTTAAAAAAAGAGGTATTTAGATTTAATCATGCCATTCTTTTAATTTTCTAAATAAAGATTTTCCTAATAACCTAGATAACATAAATATCCAATTTTACTTGACAATTTAGAAAAAATATTTAAAGATTTTTCGAGTAGTTTTCTAAATCGCAATAACTTTTATACTTTAAAAAGAGGCAGTGAAACTATTATCGATTTTTCAATCAAATTAAAAAGCATTTTTATGTAATTTTAAATCGCCGGTTGATGAACTCTTAAGAGATATTTTTATCTTAGGAATAGGGTTACATGAACTGGACAAAGAACTTCGGTCAAAATATGCCGAAGGAAATATTACTTTTGAAGATACTGTGCGTCTAGCTATCGCGCTGTCTTTATTGGAGAAGGAAACCCTAGCAGAAGTTAATAAAATAAATAAATATAAACCTATGCAATAATTATAATAACGTAAAAATAATAATAATAATTTTAATGCTCACACATTCAACCAAAATTTTTATAAATCAAGTTTTAAACCTAATTTTAGTCAAAAAAAAGTAATATGCTTTAGGTGCGGAAAAGCAAACCACATAGCGAAAGAGTGCAGAACGCATGCTATAAAAATGATTTTCCACGGACACCTCGACTGTCTTTTGCCAATAAAGCTACATCGATGCGAAAATGGGCTGCAGCTAACTATGGAATTTGATACTGGCGCGGCGTGTAGTGTGATAGATGAGGTTACCTAGTCGCATAGGCAAACCACCATTATCACCTGCTTATAAACTAGTAGGATATAACCATATCAAGATCGAAGTATTGGGTAAATGTTTAGTGGAAGTCGAAGTAAAGAATATTTCAAAATTTTTACCTCTTTGGGTAGTTAAGGGTAAGAATTCTCTTATTTTTGGAATGCCTTTTCTTAAAGAATTTGATATAAAACTTCCTGAAGAAGTTCGAATTAATAATATAAATATGAAAGATTCCAGTTTAAATACTATTGTTTCAAAATTTCCATAAGTTTAAAAAAAAAAATTAGGACAAATAAAATTAAAGAAAGCCGTCATCAAGATACAACCAAATACAGTGCCTATTGCACTACCATCTAGAGAAATTTCATAACCGTTGTGTCGAACTATTGAAGCTGAGTTAGACAGACTTTTAAACGAAGGCGTTATTGAGAAGGTAGAACAATAACTCCAAACTTGGACTACGCCAACGGTTAATATTTTAAAAAAATTCGATGCCGTGCGGATATGCGAAGATTTTTGTTTAACAATCAACTAATAAAATATCCAGCGATAGATAACGATTTACTACCAACTTTCGTCGACCTGACAAATAGGATCGCGGGTGGTAAAATATTTTCAACGATAGATAGAGATGCATTTTTACAACTCGGAGTTAGTCCATAATGTAGAGATTTTAGTAATTTCGACTCATGTCGATTATTATTGATATCAATGGGTTGACTAGCGCTCCGATAATATTTCAAAACTCTTTATGCAAACCTATTAAAGGGACTTACTATGGTTAGTGTATTTTTAGACGATGTAATTATTGGCGAATTTTAATCATATAATCTAGAAGAAGTATTAAGAAGATTTGATAAGGCTGGACTGACAACGACGACCGATAAAATTAAAATTGGGAAAAAGTCAATTACTTATTTAGGTCATGTTATTGATGAATTGGAATTCACCCTACCGAAGATAAGATTAATGCTTAAAAAATTGTAAAACACCGTCTAATGTTAAAGAATTATACATTCTATTTGTGCTCCTCTACACCGACTAAAGAGTAAAAATGTAAGCTGGTTTTGGTCAGTTAAAGAAGATAAGATGAAATATTTAATAGAGTACAAAATATTATCAAAAGAAATACAATAATTCATTATTCAGCCGATATTCCTGTCGTGATTTCTTGCGACGCTTCTGAAGATGGTCTAGGAGCTGTTATTGCACACCGATTTCTTACTGACCAGGAAAAACCGATTGCTTACGGATCGAGGACACTTTCCACGGCTGAAAAGAATTACACCACCATTGATCGAGAGGCTTCGGTGATCAAGTTCGCTTCGAGAAGTTTCATCAATATATTTATGGAAGACATTTTATTTTGGTATCATAAACCTTTAAAATATAACTTAGGTGATAAAAAAGACCTAAATAAAATAACAAATAGCCGTTTAATACGATGGGCGACGAAGCTTTTAAATTACGACTATGAGATAATTCATAGGCCGAGTAATCAAAACAGATGCGCCGACGGTCTGTCCCGCTTGGGGGTAGAGAGAGAAAAAATTAATGAAGTTAAAAAAAAATTTGAAGATGAAATTAGAGAAGTAAAAAATCAATTTAATAGAAGATTTATCGTTCACTCGAAGTAAAGTTTTATGTAAAACGATCAATGATATAAATCTAAAAGAGATCATTAAATTAATAAAAAATCATTGGCATCATATTGATAATATGAATAATTATTCGGAAAGTTTAAAAAAATTCATCTTAATTAAAGATAATATTTCTTTCGAAGAAGGATTATTATTTTATAATGATAGAATCATTATTCCTGATAATCTAAAAAAAGAGGTTTTGAATGTTATCCATCAAGGACATCCTGGGATAGTGGGGATAAAATCTTTATGCAGATACTAAGTCTTTTGGACGAATCTTGATCGTGATGTTGAAGAGTTCGTCAAAGGCTTCAAGAGTTGTCAGGAAGGAAGACTGGGATCCAGAGAAGTGCCGTTATATGATTGGAACATTCCTACCCGACCTTGGGAACGATACACAATGATTTGACAGACCCTTTTTCACCAAATGTGTTGAAGTAACACATATTAATTGGACGAGTGTAATGAATATTCTGCGTAATTATTTCGCTAGATTTGGTTTACTTCGTTATATTGTCTCAGATAACGATACTCAGTTTACTGGATCTGAATTCCATACATTTCTTTTTAAAAACAATATAAAACATTTTAGATCGGCCCCTTATAGCCCCAAATCGAAAGGTTTGGCTGAGCCTTATATACGTACGATAAAGATGCGTTTCTATGCTGGAAGGAGAGGTGGTACTCCGGACCAGTTAAATTTATCGAATGTTTTAATTACTCACCGAAATACTCCAAATGCAATTTACGGTAAATTCCCTGCCGAAATGATGTTTGGAAGGCCGCTCAGGTCGACGTTAAATCAATGGAAATTATCTACGAGAGAAAGGACTGAAAACTCGTATGGAAACAAAAATATTATAAAGATAGGAACGTTGAGTCCTGTGAATTTGAAGAGAAGCAAAAGGTTTGGGTAGAAAACGAAAGGACTGCGGGATGGCATGATTGGACAGTGGTCCAACGGACGATATTGTATGATGTTAAGTTTGAGGGTATTGTAAAAAACAAGCATGCCGACCAAGTGAGCTCATGTACAAACTCAGGAAACACTCATAACAATGACTGAGGATTTGGACATTGCATAACATAATGTAAATACAACTCTAGGAAAAAGAGTTTCGAAACCCCCATTACATTATTATGATTAATCAATTTATAGTGAGAACTGTAATGTTAAAATAAATTGATTTTTATATTTGCTTTAAGCTACAATTTATTATAATATACCAAATAGAAAAACATATAAATATATTTTATTATATTAAATAATTCACTTTATATTATTATTCTGAATTCATTTCATTAAACACATAAAATATTTTATTTATAAATATATACTGTGTCCTAATTTTACTGTTACCCTTATTTTAGCAATAAATCTGTCAATTATGTAAAATTTTTAAAATCGAGAGGAAATATAATATCAATGTTCTTCACTCATTCTATCAAATGGGTCCAAAGTTATGCACATTCAAAGCTGGACAATCAAAATTCTAAAATTCGACATAAACATGAAATCATAAACATTTATAAAATAAATTTGAGTCGTCTACCATAACCAAAAACCTTTCCTGCTGATCCAGTTGAAATTATTTGTTAGACCAGTTTCTGTTAGGACGTTCCTTCAAAAACCTTTTGTTTGGCTCCTAATGCTATTATTGTCTTAAAATTAAACATCATCTTTACTAAGAACCATTATTTTTATCGCCTGTTTAAATATAAAGTCTAAAGAAAAAATAAATTTTTACATGTTGGAAAATTTGAAATTTTGACTGTCCAACCTGCATAACTTTAGAACATTATGATATAATATTAAGATCTGCAGAAACATAATTTATCCCTCTCTCAGTCTAAATTTTTTTTATTAAATTATTAATAGAATAGATAGATCTCTAAAACAAAAATGTTAGTTCAATTGGAATACAGTGTATATATAATAAAATTAATATAAACAATATAAATCCAAATAGAAATGAATATATAATATTAAAATAATACAAGGTTTCTGATTCAAAAAAGGAAAAGTCCCAATTAAAAAACGAAAAATATAAATTACAAAAGGAAAAAGTCAGATCAAAAAAAGAAAAGATCCTATCAAAAAAGAAAAGTGTCAATCAAAAAAAGAAAAGTATCAATCAAAAAAAGTAAAGTCTCAATTAAAAAAAAGTGTCAATCAAAAAAGGGAAATTCCCATTCAAAAAGTACAGTCATTAATTTTTTAATTAAATGTCAATTTTTTTTTCTTAAATTTTTAGATATTTTTTTTATATTTTACTTTTATTTTTTGCATTCTCTTTAAGTCATTTTTAATCTTTATTTTCCTTAATCTTTTCTCAATTTTTTCTTCTTCTAATTTATGATCATTCTTTTTTATCTTTTTAAAAATAATTTATTTATTTCTAATTTTCACTTAATTTTTATTTCTTATTGACAGATAATTTTTTTTATTAATTACATTATAATTACGATGCATAATATAATAGTAGTGTTCCTAGGGGGGTGGGCTGAGTCCCTTGAAAAATTTAAAAAGCCCCTCAAAATTTCCATTTTCTTAATACCGAATGTAATTTTGAGAATTTTGAAAATAATTAGAAAAATATTTTTTGAGCCTACAAGAGATTGTAAAGGATATTGACGCCCCTGTAACTTGGTAAGAAACCAAAATGTATATTGATCATTAATAATTATCTTCTACATTTTGGAATATAAGTCTCCATATTTATAAAATAATTATTTGCATTTTCTTTAGATATTCCTCTTGCTATATGCTCTACCAAACGAATTAATTCCTCCTCAGATTTAAAATCTGATAAAATCCTTCCATTGAAAAAAACACAGTTTCAATGCAATTAAGATAAGGACTGTATGATGGTAAATATTTTCTTGTATGCCCTCTTCTTTTTATCGATTCCCTAGTTATGATGAAATGGAACATTATCTATCACAAATCATATCTGAATATTTTCGAATCGTAAGAGCAGCAATGATAATATAATTAATTGTCTTTATCTCGAACATTTTTAATAACCTTTTTATTTATTTCTGAATATCCATATAACCATTTCTGATATTGAAAAACCCACTCTCATCGATAAATTTTTCTTTAATATAAGCTATATCTAGTAATAAATTCGCGTACTCAGCAAATCTCGATATTTGATTCTGTATTTTTTCTAACTAAACTTAGTGATACTTTTAAAATTATACCAAAATTTTGATAGTAACCTTGATACTGTATGATATTTCTACATCATATATTTCTTTAATAATTTCACATCACTTTTTTAAGAATAAAGTGCAATAAAATTATATAATTTAATATATATTCTTACTGTTCTTGATTTAATTTCTTGCGTGCAAATCTCCTTTGGGTAAACTATAGATTGACCAATTATCTCACTCTTTCAGGGTGTAGTCGATTTCTTATCATTGATTGTATTTTACCAAAAGAAGATCAATTTTCAGAGGAGGATAATGCAACATAATAAATTTAAAAAAATCATTGAAAAATGTCGAAATCATTTTGTGTCTATTTCCTATATTTATCATAATATATATATTTATATTAATCGGAAAATGGCAAAAACTTAAAATCTTATTTTGAAAATAACGCATAATAACGAATAGTTTGTAAGTAAGTTGATGTAATGAGAATGAGGGATAATGTTTGGAAAACTGATATTATTTTATTTTAAAGAAAGCTATTTAAAATTTTGAAGATAAAAATGAAAACAAGATAAAAAAACGGCAAGAAAAATAAAAAGAAATTACAATATATTAATAAACACGAAAAGGGAATATTCCTAATAAATCATTTCTCAGGAAATAAAATCATGAAGATATAATAGTAACAAGAGAAAAAAATTAATAGTGCAACAATAAAAAGGGATAGTATTAATATAGCAGCATGTTTTATAAGCTATAATACAAAATACTCCCATCTTAAAAATGGAATAAAATATAGTTTACCCAAAGGAGATTCATGAGCACGCAAGAAATTAAATCAAGAACAGAAGAATATATATTAAATTTAGCATCTTTGTAAATAAAATACTTAATCGTTTAGAAGAAGGCAATATGATGCATATAATTTGTGATAGATAATGTTCCATTTCATAATAACCATACAAGAGAATCAATAAAAAGAAGAGGGCATACAATACATATGGGCCTTATCTTAATCCTTTATCGAAAGATTATATCTAAAATCAAAATCTGAAGAGGAATTAATTCGTTTTAAATGGCACGGAGAGAGTGAAATATCTGAGGAGAATGCAAAGAATTAATTTAGAAATATGGAGACCTATATTCCAAAATGTAGAATATAGTAAATTATTAATGATAATATAAATTTTTGTATCTTACCATATTACAGGGGCGTCACTAGTCTTTACAATCTCCGGGGCTCAAAAAATATTTTTTTTATTATTTTCAAAATTATCTTCTTATTTTTAGCTAACATTTTCAAAATTACTTTCTATACTCAATAACAAATTATATTGTTTAGATTAGTTTATTCATTATGGTTATAATAATGATAATGGTTCTCATAAATTTTATCAAATAATTATATTTTAGAGATATCGAATGTAATTTTTTTATACTAAATAACAAATTATATTACTGAGATTAATTTATTTATTAAATTTCAACTACTGAGTATTGTTCAAAGTTGATAAATATCAAATATTTTTTTTAGAATTATATATCGTATTTTCTAAGGATTATACTAAATAGCAAATTATTTTGTTAAGATTAATTTATTTATTAGGATTAAATACACTGAGAATGGTCATAGTTTAAAGTTAATAAATTTTATCGAATATTTCTATTTTAGAAATATTTAATGTAATTTCTAAAGATTATACTATATAATAAATTATTTTGCCATAATTAATTTATTAGGGTTTAAATATTGAGGATGATCATTGTTTAGAGTTCATAAATTATATCTGATATTTCTATTTTAGAAATATAATGTAATTTCTAAGAATTATATTAATTATATTGATGATAGCGAATTAGCGTAGCTCAGCCTCGTAGTCAATATTTTAGGGACCTCATTTTTATGGAAAGCTATGCCCCATATTTCTCATTCTTTAGGCCCATCGGTTTGCTTAGCCGGCATTCGGCCGGATCCTCTTTAATTGATTATTCATATTTATGATGTAACACAGGATAAATACCCAGAAATAAGTAATTGGACAGGGAAAATAATTTATTTATCCTAAGAATATTCCCCATTTCGTGTTTATAAATATATTGTAATTTTTTTTTCATTTTTTTTGCCATTTTTTTAAAATCTTGTTAACATTTCTATCTTCAGTCAAATTTTAAATAGCTTTTTTTAAAATAAAATAATATCTGTTTTCCAAACATTATCTCTCATTCTCATTACATCAACTTACTTACAAACTTTCTGTACACTATGCTATTTTCTATTATATAATTTGTAAGCTCAAAGTAATATTATATTTCTGATTGTTATATTATAAAAGTGAATGTATATTTGATTCTAGGGTGATTTTTAAACTATTTTATTTTATATTACAAGGCTATATAATAAAAAATGAAAAATCCTAATAAACATGGAATAATGTTAATCATAAAAGTATAGGACATATCAAAAAAGGAAAAGGGTAGATTAAAAAAGGAAAAATTACGATCAAAATAGGAAGAGTGTCAAACAAAATAGGAAAAAAAACATCAAAAAGAAGATTGTCAATCAAAAAAGAAAAGTCCCAAAATAAAAGGAGTTAATTTTTTAAATATTTTTTTTGTCAATTTTTCTTAATTTTTTTTATTTTTTGTTCTTATTTTATTTTTAACTTTTTGCAACAAGTCATTTTTAATCTTTAGATTTCTTTTTTCTCAATTTTTTTTCTTCTCATTTATGATATTTCTTTTTTGTTTCATT